AGGTGGCTGCAGAGCAACCCCCCGAGATCCCAGGGGAGGACGCATGTGGCACCCAGCAGGGTGGAGGTGACTGGAGCGTCTGCAGCCACTGCTTCACCCGGATCCCCACACCCCAACACTGCCCTGTGCCTGGTGGGGACCCTGGGTGAGCCCCCTGCTATCCCCCACATCCCAGCCTCAAATTCTCCTCCGGAGAGGGGCTGCCCTGATGGTCTGTGTCACCCCCGTCAGTTGTAGGGGGCTGCTGCTCTGCACATCCTGTGCAGGCACCTTGGACACAGGCAGCCTGGAGAGCACCGCAGCAGCTGGCAACCACCCGCTACAGGCAGCAAAGGTCAGTACAACCACTGCTGGGCCCGGCGGAGGGGCACAGCCTGGGTGAGGCGGCAGTGCTGGGTACAAAGGGAGTGAGGAGGTTGAGGACCAATGACACGGGATGGGGATGGGACAGGACGACTGTAGGTGGAGGTAGAGGTACTGATGCTGTGCAGGAGGGACCATGAGCTAAGGCTGCACAAGGTGAGGGACAGATCCCAGTCACCAGCCCTGACCCAAAGGGGTGCAGGAGGAGGGCAGGCAGGAAAGCTGGAAAGATGTGTCTCCTCTTGCAGGCAGAGGATGTCTCCCCTGGTGGCGACGCTATGCTGAGCAGGGATGAGCTCGAGGCGCTCCTGGGCGAGGTACGGCACCTGGGGCGGGGAGGGAACAACCAAAAGACATAAACAGGGGATCACATCTCTGATGTGACCCACAGGGTGAAGTCAGGCTGTGGATGAGGAAGGGCGAGCTGGGACAGCCCAGGGGGGCAGGCAGTGGGATGGAAATGGAGACTGACGCTCTGGGGCTGTCCCACAGGGCACCTGGGATGGGATCCTGCAATGGGCATTCCAGAGCATGGCACGGCCCCTCGCAGACACCCATGCACTACTTGCCTAGCGCATGCTGCCACGAAGTCAGCCCCAACAGCAAAGGTGATGTAGGAACAGGCTGTACAGTCAGCTGGGCCATAGGAACAACACAGCCATTGCGGCGCCAAAAAAACCCGATGCGACATCATCAAAAAAAGCGACCCTACAGCAGGTAACAAAAAAAACCAGACAAACCTGCAAACTGCGGGTTACTGCAAAGGACTCCCAGAAAAAACTGTGCATAGCATATATGAGCAAATATATACAGAAATAAAAAAAAAAAAAACACCACTTGATTGAACAGTGAAATAAAAACCTTAAATGACAATGGACACAAAAAAAAGGATACAAAATATAAAACACATACCCAGAGCCACACATACATAAATGACGAAAGATCCAGAACAACTAAAGAACAACCAAAACCAAAAAAATTAACTGATGGCATACCTTCAGCCAGCAGAAAAAAAAAAAAAAAGCCTACAGCACCCGGTATTCCCAGGCGGTCTCCCATCCAAGTACTAACCGGGCCCGACCCTGCTTAGCTTCCGAGATCAGACGAGATCGGGCGTTCTCAGGGTGGTATGGCCGTAGGCACCCCCTGCCCCGCCAAGGGCCC